AAGGCAAGTAGATGTAAGATGCTCATGAAAAGTGCTATGCAAATTTAAGGTAATATGTTTTTCTAGAGTCTTTCCACTGAGACATTTTAATAGTCCTTTTGTATACTAACTTTTTATGCTAATATCCCCACTGTTTTTTGGACTTCATGAATTTGGATGGTGTCTAAAATAGTTAGTCCTATGTCGTTTTTTTTTGTTGAAGGACTAAAATATTTTAAGGACAAATAGATGGCTGAAGTGAACATTTGGCTAAATGTTCACTCCCTTTATTTTACCCCCTTCACCGTTTTATTGCTTGGCCTGCCTGCAGCTAGTCTCCTCCCTCAGGCGGGTGGTGGCCAGGAAAAGATGGAAACCCTCACACTTACCTGCAGGAGACACTGATAGTATCAGCCAAGCCCTGCCTGCTTGCACTTCTGTCCTTTTATTGATGAACTTTGTTTTTCCCTTTGTTTTTTTTTTTTCTTTTTTACTAAACAGCACACATCATAAAGACAAGTTGTGATGCATATAATAACTGTATACTTGTGTGCCCACCCACCCAGCAGAGCACTAAGATGTCATCCTCAGGTTCCTTTGGTTCATGCCCTGTGGTTCAACATCTTTTAGTCACCATTCTGCTGACTCCAGGTCATACCTTCTACCAGTTTCCCTTGTGAAAGTTTCTTTTTCTTTGTTACCATTGCTTTTGCAGAGGTTCTTAGAATATTCTGGATGTTGGCTCTGGCTGTTGGCACTATCTCATGTATCTTCTTTCAGAAGGTGGCTTCTCTCTCCTCTTTGTTAAGGTGTCTGATGAGCATAATTTCCCAGTTGAAATATAGTTGGCCTTAGTAGTCTTATAGTATAGTATTTTTTAAATCCTGTTTAAAAAACTTCCCAGTCCCAGAGTCATAAAGAAATCCTCCTTATATCATCTGCTGAAAGTTTTAGAGTTTTGCCTTTTGCATTGGATCTGCAGTCCTCCTGGAAGTGACTTTTGTCTGCGGTGCATGAGGGATGAGCTATTGCATTTTCTCCTTAGATGGCCCATGTTTCAGCCCCGTTCACAGACTGTCTCCCTGCTCCCCTAGCCTGTGAAGCCGCCGCTGTCACACTTCTCTGTTTCAGATCTGTTTCTGGGCTGTCTTTGATCCCCAAATTCTACTTCTAGTAATTTGCGCTAGGGAGCAGCTCAGGGCAGTGCAGGCATCTCACTGTGGCAGTGTTCTCGAAGCATTTGATGGTGCCGAGCGGGAAGCGTTCTAGAGGCTCCGGCCGTGGAGTGAGCCGACTGATGTCTGCACACCTGCGCAGTGAGAGACTCTGCAGCCGACACAAATATGTTTACTGCTGTGGAAGGGTGCTGACAGTATAGCGAGACAGAAAAATAGGAAGTTCAAGCACGGTATGTACAGTCGGGTTCCATGTTTATAAAAAGTTAGCGTGCAAGTTAAAAAAACAAGCCTTTCAGTGCACTTAGATGGGCTTCCCCTGTGTCAGGCCACGAGCCTGCTCAGGTCCTCCCCGGCTCCCTCCAGCCGCTCTGTATTTGGCACCCATGGGTCTTCCTAGTGCTTTCTTACCTGCTCCCTGATTTCTGTGCACACTCCTCATCCTCTTTTCTGGACTCCGCCTCCGCCCTGCATGGGCGTTGTGTCCGGGGTGCCTGGTTGGGTCCCTGGACCTCCTCCTTCCATGCCCTTTCCATAGGGCCTGCCCGGAGGCTTCCCCCCATTACACTTTCTTTTAGAGTCCCGGCCCGGCCGTATGTCTGTAACAGGCACTTCACTTAGTTCGCCCGGCATCCTCAAGGCCCCCAGAGTCAGGGTATCCAGGGGAAGCCCACAGCCTCCCCCATGAGATCCCCCCCGCCGGAGTCCTCCTGGCTTTCCGTCCTGCCTCCCTGCCTCCGTCCGTGGTGGGTCTTCTCCCCTAACACGCATGCCCGTGTCATGTCCCTTCTTTGCAGACGCTCGTTGCTGGCTGCCCTTTTACAAGAGTTTCTGGAGTATTCTTCCTGCCTCCAGGTTTCACCCCCTCCCTTTTTGGTCCACACTGTGACCACAGTCATCAATCAGAAGTATATGTATATGAGGGAGACCCGCCACCCCTTGACCTGTGGCTCACAGGCCTGGCTGTCAGTGATCTGGGCCTGGCCCTCTGGGGCTCTGCAGCCTCTGATGATTTCAGGCCCTCTGCCTGCCCTGCTGGACCCCTGCTCATCTTCTGAGACCTGCTCTGTGATGCCTTCCCTCTTGGGGCACCGTGTGTGTCAAAAATCTGCCCTTTCTTGCCCCTGGTGGTAATGAAGGTGCCCTGGATTGCTTGTAGGACAGAGTTGGCTCTCTTGTTTGTGCAAAGAATGTGACAGGATGGTTCGGAGAGCCTGGCCACCCAGCACGCCCTGAGCAGCGAGCTGCGCTTGAGATCTGGTGTTTGGCTCTGGTTCTCTGCTCTGTGGGGTGTAAGGAGGAGCCCTGCCAGCAGCTTCCTGTGGGTGCCCGTTACAGGCTGCCTGGTGCAGAACGTAGCAGGTTATTCAGAAGTGTTATTTTCTTGACCACTTTTAGTTCATTGCTTTTGACTGAATGTTTAAAAATATTCTGCAACAAAATCTATAGTATTCATGAGCAGCGAATTAGGAGAAGAAATGTAATTTCTGAGAAAGCTTCAAAGAAATAGCAACTTTATCTCTTCCCCAGCCTTTTCCGCTGAAACCCACCAGTCTTTTTCTGAGCACTCATGTTCTATAAATAGAACAGCAGCTCTCCTTGGGTAGCCCACGATCAGCTCATCCGCTTTCTGAAAGATGTGTGTGTGTGTGTGGATTGTGTTTTAATTTTGCTTTTCTTATGGGTGAAATGCGTAGCAGGAGATGCAAGAAAAAATACTCCAGTGTTTATCTTTAAAGATAACTACAACTTTTCTGGGTGTGTGTTCGTTGGTTTTGTTCTTCTTAATTTTTTTAAATTGCATTTAGGAAAGAGATGGAAGCGATTCCTTCCCCTGCAGAGGTAAGGAAGACGAGTGGGCAAGGAGCGGCCCTTGTGCTTGTGAGGGAGCCCTGTGGGGCCAGAGGAAAGGCCCTCCTGCCATGTGGTGCAGGCGTCCGAGGCTCTGTGCTGTTGTGCACAGACTGGCTGGCCTGTGTCTTTGGAGAGCATGTTGAAGTGAGCGTCAGTCACATGTATACTTGGGTCTGCAAGGAAGGTTAGGAAACAGCCTGGGAGGTTTTCCATATTGCAGGCTGGCTTCTCTCTCGAGCTGCTGGGATCGAGGTTGGGCTTTCTCCCTGCCTGGGGTCAGCCTGGTTCTGGTTCAGCACATGTCTCCGTACTTCCAAAAGCCAGGCCTTATTCAGTCAAGGATGGAGGTTTCAGACTCTGTGGCTGTAGTGGTGTGTCTCTCTTCTTGACCACTGGGTAATGGTGTGTTCCTCTCTTCTGGCGCAGTTCCCCGGGAGAGCAGGTGGGTGACCTTCTCATAAGTAAAGGTGCAGGTGCACATCACAGAGTAAGTAGGTGGGTTCCTCAGTAGGTTTTCTCCTGGGTTGGTTCTCTTGGGAGTTGGGGAGCATTGCTGTTCATACCGCTAGGCTGGCCCCATGGCACAACTTCCATCACACCTGGCCTGTGGCTGTGAGCTAGCCTGTGCCCAGGAAGCTCACAGAGTCCCGTCCTGTAGTGGGGTGGGAGAGGAGCACTCTGCCTGCATTCCCAGGATACCCTGGACTGCCATGCTGCTTTGGTGTGGGGGTTCTTCCACACAGCCAGGTGTGAGTGGTATGTGTGGGGCGGGGGCTTTCTAAAGCATTGTCCTCTGGGGCAGGTAACACTGCATCCCGAGCTCCATTCACTCCCTGGTTAGGAGTGGGCTGATGGAGCGACCAGATGACCGGCACTCTGCTCTTGCCTTCTGCTGCATTTGAGTGATGGAAATTTCTGTCTAGTTTCATCTCATATCATGTGAGGTGGCCCCAGAAGCCCAGGTGGTTCGTACAGATACTTTAAAAAAAAATTAAAGTGCAAAACTATATGGGATTAGGTAATTAAACAGAAGCTTCTCTGAACCAATATTCTTGCCCTTTAACAGAATTTTTGTATATTCTGCCTGCATTCCATGATGAGACTCTGTGTAGAATAGACATTTCTGTTAGGTCGGCCAAAACATGCCTTGTAGACACTGAGAGCCAGGCTCTTGCTCATGCATCTTGTTTATTAGTTTTGACTGTGTTAGTGGCTCCAAGTGGTTCCCCGTGTCGATGACCAGGTAGCTCCTGGAGCATTTAACTTCTGAGTGGTCCGCAGGGCCCCTGTGGCCCATTAGGTGCCCAGCCCACAGGATACAGTGTGAGGGAAACAGCTCTAGGAGAGGCCGTGCCCGCTCTTGGTTTTCACGGAGACATGCGAGTGGACTGCTGTCCACCTCCTGATTCTCTTAACAGAACTCCTGTTTCATGGTGGTGATCAGACTACAGGAGGGTACAAGTTTTAGTGACTTTGGCGTCCACTCACCTCTCACAATGTGGGCAGATGCCGTGTGGCGTGGGGATACCGGTGGGGACTGAGTGGGGCACAGGCCTGGAGCCTTGCTGAACCCCACAGCAAACTACGTCGACAGTCTTGGCAACAGGACCCTGAGAAATGGCAGGAGGCCAGAGAGCAAGGAGACAGGGCCAAGAATAGCTAAAAAATACCAAATGCTGCAGTTGGAGAATGCACTGGCCTGGGCCGCTTGCTGTGGCCCTTCCAGCCTTCCTGTCTCTTTCTGCTGCTCCCCCGGGCATATCCAGGGCACACCTTGGGCCTCTGAAACCCCCACCCTCAGGCATGCCATGGCCCCGCAGAGGATTGGGTTAGCCCTCCCCCGGCAGCGCTCGGCCCGTCCATAGGTCAAGGTCCGGGGAGAGTGTGAGAAATATTTCTGTTAGGCTGTCAGCAGTTAGAGACGCGAGTGTACCAGACCGTCAGCGTGCAGCTTGGGTGGACGAGCGCAGCCGTGCCATAAAACACATGCTCATGAGTTCCTTTCTGTGCTTTCAGACCATCATCAAAGAGGGGATGCTGACCAAACAGAACAGTTCATTCCAGCGATCCAAACGGAGGTACTTCAAGCTGCGAGGGCGAACGCTGTACTACGCAAAGACTGCAAAGGTGAGGCGCAGTGCAGGACACTTCACGGGAGAAGACATGCAGGGACCTGCAGGGGAGTTGGGGTGCTGGGTCCTCATCTGAGGAAAACCTTCCTTCTAAGAGCTGTTTTTTCCAGAGAGTTTCTCATAATACTCTTGGGTACTAGGTTTTATTTGTCTCAAGGCATGTTTTAGTGCTTATAAACATTGATTTTTATTCTTTTTTTATGTTGTATGTCACCATTGGGGAAGGAGAAATGTCATAGAAATAACCATGCTACAGCTGGTTATCTTTCCTGCAGCAGGATTAGGGGTCACAGGCTTACACATCTCCTATAGATTAAAGTGTCTTCTTAAAAAATTACTTTATTGAGGTATAATTGGCATACAAGAAGCTGCAGATACTTAATGTAGACACTTGATGAGTTTGGAGATGAGTATACACCCGTGAAACTAACACCAAGTATTTTTGAAATGCACTGGGCTTCTTGGTGTGTGAGCAATCGATCTTTGTCCCTGGGCTTCCCAGCAGGGACCCTTCCATCTTGCCATCTGGGATCACCGGGCAGATGCTCGGGGAAAGAGGAGGAGCCAGTGGGAGTCACTAAGTTACCGCCATGTTTAAAGGAGTGTGGTCACATGTGGTTCAGACACCTGTGTGCTTGCAGAGCTAGTTTTTGGTATTCTGAACACTCGTGTTTTTGTGTCAGTATTGCTGTCAATACTGATATTCGGTTTTAAGAAAATCTGGAACCTGAATCATTTGCATTTTGAGGTGTATCCCTAGAGAGTTAGTGTGTTACAGTTTGAAACTGAACAGAGCACCGTGTTTATAAAGGGTTCTGACCATGTTCCTCGTTTAAAAAAACAACCACCCTTATAGTTATTTTAGGTCTGTGGCCTTAGGGGGTTGGGGGAGGTTACTTAAAAGGCTGAGGCTCTTTTCTGAATTATTAGTATTTCCTTTAGGGGTTCCCGATGGAGTCCTCTTAGAGGCCGGTAAGGTTAACAGGAGGTGGGGACTGTGATGAGGGATTTGGGGAAGAGGAGAGGAAATGGGGGGTGTTCCCAGGCCTAGTTTCCATCCCTTTTCTGGAGCCTGACTGTCTCTCTGCAGGACTAGATTCTCTCCACTTCGCTCCCTGTTTTTCTTTCACAGCCTGATTCCTTCTCTTTGGGTCAGTCTCTCTTCCCCTAGAATCATTTGTTTTAGTGGGGACCTTTCTTCCAGATGTGCTTACTGGAGAAGGTGTAGAGCCACAAGGACAGGATCCTCAGTCCAGAGCCCTGCTGTCTCAGGTGGACCCCATCTGAGCATATATTTCACATTTAAAAGTGAAACTCTGGTGTTACAGAAAAGAAACACAGACTTGCATTATTATTATTATTTTCTCCACTAATGCAATCACTAATGAATTCCCTGTTTTAAAAAAAAATCACGGAGCCATACCTGGGGCTAGATGGGGGGATGCTGTCAGCACTCACTTAGGCAGCAAGCCTCCAGTTTCAGGGCCCTTTGTGTCAGTGGGCATTTGGCTGGGGTTGAGGAGAGTGGTGGGCAGCATTGGGCCAGGGCTTAGGATCTCCTCCACCTTGGGGGCCTTAGCCTCCTGCTGACCGTGGTCCCTGTGTCTCCCCAGTCAATCATATTTGATGAGGTGGACCTGACAGATGCCAGCGTGGCTGAATCCAGCACCAAAAACGTCAACAACAGTTTTACGGTAAGACGCTGGACACACACCTCCCTGATTCTTCACCACATCTGGTTTTCCTTCCTAATTTGAACAAACATGAGCAGTTCAGACTTTTTCATCCTGTTCACTCTGATGGGAATGATTCTTGGTAAACATAGAATTTATTGCTGAGTATAATACTGTGGTTGGAGAGTAACTGAGACTTTGGTACTTGTAAGCACAAAAGAACAGGAGGGCCCGGATGAGATTGTTTAACATGTTCTGGTTTTACATTTCTCTAAGTTTTACACAGAGGCTTGTTTTTCATGATCAGTGTAGAAAATTTGGAAAATACAGAGAAGTATGTTGAAGCAATTAAAAATAGCCATAATTAGGCCACTTCAAAAAAATAGAATGTTTGATATTTTGGTGTATTTCTTTTCTTTTTTACTTTTAAACTGCTCCCTTCCCCAGTTTATAAAGATTTTGTTGTACTTTCTGCACAAGTTCTAAGTGCATAAAATCATGTGATTTCCCCACCCGGACAGGTCGCAACTGCACACTCTGGAGTATTTGCCTTTATTTCTAAATATCTATATTTTCACCCACATCTACCGTGAGATCATAGGGACCATTTTGTGTTTGCTTTTTTTTTCCTCTTGACAATTCATGGTGATCATTTCCCTGTGTTGCCTGATCTGAATGTTCATCGTATTTTTTAATGGCTGTGTAGCGTTTCTTATATGACTTGCCCATTTTGGCTTCAGGAGCTGACTTTAGAACCTATAAGGTATGACTTCAGTGTCCAGAATGGAGTATTTAAAAATAGTTCTCTTTATATTAAGCTGTCTCATTTAGACATAAAGTGTGCTCCCTATTTTTTTTTTCAATTCTTACATAACGGTCAAGGTGGGTAATTTTCTTCATGTTTAGGATCTGACATTTTGAGTTAGTTTTACTTTCAGATACTTCCAGGTTTTGTTTCATCTTATTTATCAATGGATTGATTATTGATGTTGCTGATACGACTGGGATTTTCCTTTCTCCATTTAAATTTCTACTTTGTGTTGATGTAACTAACTGCTCTTGGTTTTGCTTTGTGGCTTATCGAATTAGCCTTCCCTGAGGGTTTCTCTTATCTTCCTTTTCATTTTACTTGGAATCGTTTTAGCTTTTTCTCGGTGAGTTTTATTGTTTACTTAGTGACTGGGGGAGACATCTTAAACCATGTAAATGATTATTGTTTGATTAGTGGCTTTTAGAGTTTTTAGTAAAAATAGGTGTTGAATTTCATTGGAGTGTTTTGAGCATTAATGTAGGCGACCAATTTGTTTTAGGTATTTGTACATTTCCTAACAATAAATTTTTCTTGGTAATGTTGAACTTTACAACCAGATTTTGGGTTTAGAATTTTCCGTCCATGTGTGTGCTTTACTTTTGGTGTGGGAAGGTAGCCTTTGCTGTGTTTTGCTTTGAGAGTTAAAATAGCCCCATAAAATTCATTTAGTAACTTGTTATGATTTTATGTGTTGGAACATTTTACATAGCTTTAGAATTGATTGTTTCCTGAAAGTTCGAGAGCACTTACTTTAAATGATCTGTCGTAAAGACATTTGTGTCTCTGGTTAGATCCCTGTTTACATTTCTAATTTTATTCATTTAGCTTTGTTTTTCTTGTCAGGTTTTTTAAACCCTGCCTTTTTTTTTTTTTTTTTAAGAGAACCAGTTATGAATTATTGATCAATCCCATTTATTTGTTACCTAATTCAGTTTCTGCTTTATATTTATTGTCTTTTTTCTGTTTTTCACAACTTTTTAAAAGAACTTATTGATCGGTTTAGTTTTATTTTCATATACATAATATAATTATATGTATAACATGAAAATGCGAGGGGCTGAGTTTGACTCTGGCCTTTTTTTCACGTGCCAAAAGTTGTTTCTGTCCCAGTAGAAAAATGTTATTAAAGACAGTTTTTTTATCTTTCAAGTTACTGAAGAAAAACTTGAAGTGTATGACTATAAATAGGACATTTGAAATCACCCATATTCCTGTTGCCCAAGTATACCTGGTAATATATTTTGGTTTATGTCCTACCAAATACATTTTATAAAATACAATTTTTGACTTTCTTCACTTAACAATGTGCTTTTTCTCTTGTAATATCCTTTAAAATTTTACTTAATGACATTGCTTAGTATTCCATCATATAAATGTATAAGTTTATGTATCCAGTCTCTGTATTAAACATTTGATTTTTTCCTACCATAAGTAATGTTATGATGTACATTTGCACACAAATCCTTTTGTGCATTTCTGATTATTTTCATAGTATAAATTCTTAGAAATGGAACTCCATTTGAGGTAGAAAAATATAAGCTTTTTAAAAGCTTTTGAAAAATAAATGAGGTACTGGTACTTGCTGCAACTTGGATGAACCTTGAAAATATTATGCTGAGTGAAAGAAGCCAGACACAAATGGCCACATACTTTATGATCCTGTTTCTGTGAACTGTCCACAGTAGGCAAATCTGTAGAGACAGGAAGTAGATTAGTGGCTTTGGGGGCTGAGGAGGAAGGAGTGCCTGCTAAAGCGTGCAGGATTTTTTTTTTTTTTGAGGGTGACAAACTGTTCTAAAATTAGATGTGGGAGATGGTTGCACAACTTTTCGAATGTGCTGAAAACCCTGAATTGTATGCTTTAAACGGGTGAATTGTATGGGAATTCTCAGTAAAAATACTACGGACAAACTATGCACTTTGGAACTGCACAAGTTACTGTGGAGCTTTGTCAGCCTGATCTGAGAATGAAGGCCGACATCTATCTCCCCTCTGTGGGACAGTGTGTTCAGAGGGCCAGATATTTGACTTCCAGAGGGAACCTCTGGAACCCCATTCCTGGCTGGCAGTCCTGGGTGATTTCCAGCCCTCAGGGCAGAGAACCTGCTCTCTCACATTCACTTTCTGTTTTGTTAGTGCTCTAAAACTGCCTTTTCATCTGAGGGTGTGGTGAAAGGCAAGAGGAAGATTCATACTTAGGTTCCCCAGGAACATTCCAAGATAAGGGAGCTCACCCCAAGTGCTCTGTGATGACACATGGCATATGGAGACGGATGGGGCGTGTTGGTGCCCAGTCCCCCGTCACAGTTCCGTGGAGTCAGTAAGTTCCAGGCACTGGGGCTGTAGGTGATACAAATATTTTCTTTGCTTAAAATTCACACTTAATGATCTGTTCCATCGCCCCCTGCGATGTTTACTGCCTGACCTCTGAACCTGTCCCTTACCATGCAGTGAACGGCAGGATTCTGTACGCAGGCGTCTCTCCAGCAGGCCGTGCCCTCCTGGAAGGTGGTGCCTGAGCGCAGGGAGTGAGTGCAGAATGAATGAATGAATTCGCCCGGAAGCTACCACACTTCCTGGAATATCTCATTTGGTTTTCCAACTATTCCAGTAGTGATTTCCAAACTCTACAGCTTGTACTAAAATTGCTTGCCTGGTACAGACCACCAGAGAAAGCTGCTGTTACCATGAATCAGCCAACAGATGGGAACCTCTCATGGCTGTGAAGCATCAGTAAATTCGCTTCACATTAGAAAAGACTCTATTTTTATTCCTAAGATTGCCAGGGAACTGTACCATAAAGAAGCAAGGACCCTTGGGATAAGAAAGTTCTAAGGGAGATGGGCAGAGGTCCTTGGGGGAGAGGAGAGGTTTTGAGACAGGCTTGATGGAAGAAGTGGCATGACTGAGTCTCATGTAACTGGACAGGGGTCTGCCTCTCTTCTTGTTCTTTAAGAACAGAGAGCTGGGATGAAGCTAACAACAGAGCGATTGCCTTTAGATTCCTGATAGGTAGGGCAGTGGCAGGAGGTGCTTTCACAAGGTGGGGGGTAGGGCAGACAGTGGGCCACCCCCCGAAAAGGCCAAAAACATAGCAGCATGAAGAGAAAAGGGGACTTGCCAGCTTTGTGTCCTGGCCTCTGCAATAACATGACATCGTATGCTTTTGGTGATTAAACATGTTAATACTAATTTATGAAGACTAGAAGACTTTTGGTATATTATTGCCAAATTGCCCTTAGAAATATCAACAAGGTTTCACAAAAGTGATTTTTCTATTCTTTTGCAAACACCACGTGTTCACATTTTAGAATATCTTTGCCACTTTCATAGTTTAAAAATGGTAATTTGTTTCTTCAGTGACCAAAGCAAATTGAGGCCAAACATTTCTCATGGTCCATCATGCATTTGTATTTCTCTTTATGAACTGATTTTTTTTCATGTGCTTTCAGATAGTCAGCACTGTATCTATAGGGTTCAAAGTTACTCCCCACCCCCCACCCTCATGGGCTGTAATAGTTTTAGTGCTTTGTCCTTTCTTTTTTTTAAGATTTCATACACTAATAGTGCACTGCAGTTACCAGGTAAAATGTTTTTCATGATCTAACATGTATTTATTTATTTATTATTATTTTCTCAGTCCTCACCTGAGGATATGTTTTTATTGATTTTTTTGAGAGAGGGAGGGGGAGAGAGAAACATCAATGTGAGGGAAACATCGATTGGTTACGTCCTGTACTCGTCCTGACTGGGGATCGAACCCCAACCTAAGTATGTGCCCTGACTAGGAGTGGAACTTGAAGCCTTTTGGTGCATGGGACATGCTCCAACCGCCTGAGCCATGCGGCCAGGGACTAACACATTTAACACATTTTTAAATTATTTTCAGTTTTAGGATCACAAAATTTACAGATTTGTGCTGAAGGTATATTTTTACTACCATAATTTTTCAAAGGAGTTTGTTAAAGCAACATTTCTGTTTTACTGAAACTATATATTTTAAATAAATTTTTTAATTGAAATATGACTTCCATACCAAGAAGTGTATAAATACAAGTACAGAGTTTGTTGTATAACCACGAGGTAGTCAGGTGATGGATGTATCTAGTCCCCCAGAAGCTCCCTTCCCCACAGGTAACCACTGGCTTGACTTCTGATACTGTAGATGAGTTTTGACTGTTTCAGGTATTTGATGTAAGTCGACTCATAC